GTAAGAGTTATTGAAGGAACGCTGTGCATGTTGTATGTATCAAACTGTCCACAAGAAATCAAAGCAGGGGGCTCTTAGCATAGAAATGAGTCAGGTGATTCTTCAGGTGATTACTTCCAAGTATTTTTCTTTCTTGCATGAAGTCTTTCCTATCAGAACCTATGATTTATGGTAAATATTAATAAGTTGCTTCGCTAAGATAACCTCGTTATTTGGTAAGATGAACTGGTTTAGAAGAGTCTGCCTGACCCTGTCCTAATGACATCCAAGAATTTTTTTCATCCTTTCTAGGTCCATCATTCTAAAAAACTTTCTCAATGATTTAAAAATAAATTATTATAACTATTAAAAAATACTAATGGGAATAATCAATAGACACTGTGAATAACTTTTAAAATAACACAGTGATCAAGGTGATTGATTTTCCTGTTACATGAAACATTTAGCATGAAGACTTCTTCATCATGAAATCAACTGTGGAAGTTTGTTGGGCCTTAGCAGATGCAGGCATAGGACTTCTGTTGCATATCCCTTCCTGGCCTGTTAGGTATTTCACAACTCTCTGTGGATTTTATGCAGAAGGTAGGCACAGATTTGCTGATGAGTCTTCATCTGCTGCGAGGCTCTATGAGACTGTCACTGAGCAGCAAACAGGAGTGTGCTTGGCTGGTTGTGCACCTTGCAGCAGAAACCAGTGACCTTAAACTAGCTACCAAGTCTGATGTGTTTTGGAGCATCAGGAACCTCCTCAGCCTCGTTAAAGCATCTTCTGCAAGCTTCTTGTGCAGCCTGAATAACACCTTTACCCTTACAACTACAGTGAACAGAAGGCAACAAAAATGGCACCAGTCATTATTTTGAGTTGAGCCTCTGCTGTGGGACAAAGAATCATAGATTCATAGAGTGGTTTGAGTTGGAAGGGATCTTTAAAGATCACCTAGTTCCACCCCCCCTGCCACAGGCAGGGACACCTTCCACTAGCCCAGGTTGCTCCAAGCCCCGTCCAGCCTGGCCTTGAACACTGCCAGGGAGGGGGCAGCCACAGCTTCTCTGGGCAACCTGTGCCAGTGACTCACCACCCTCAATGGTGAGGTATTTCTTACATCTAATCTGAATCTACTCTCTTTTCAGTTTAAAGACATTACCTCCTGTCATACTGCCAACCAACCTTGTAAAAAGTACCTCTTAATCTTTCTTGTAGGCTCCTTTAGGTGCTGGAAGGCTGCTATAAGGTATTCCTAGAGCCTTCTCCTCTCTAGGCTGAACAACCCCAGCTCTTTCCGACTGTCTTCAGAGGAGGGGTACTCCAGCCCTATGATCATCTTGGTGGCCCTCCTCTGAACTCACTTGAACAGGTCCATGTCCTCCTTAAGTTGGGGACCCCAGAGCTGAATGCACAGCTCCAGGTGGGGTTTCACGAGAACAGAGGGGGACAGTCACCTCCCTTAAGCTCCTGGCCACACTTCTCTTGATGTGCAGCCCAGGATAGTTAGCTTTTTGGACCACAAGTGCACATTGCTGGGTCATGTTGAGATTCTCATCAACCAGCACCTTCATGGTGCAAGCTGCAGGGCCACACACACCCAGGTGGGAAAGACATGAAACCACACAAAACTTTTCCTCCCCTAACCAGAGATGAACAAGGGTATCAATGTATCAACATCACCTGCCTGACCAAAGGTACATCTGGGAAGTCTGGGATAAGATGGGAAGGAGCCATGGCATACCTTGGGTAGGCAGGAGAGCTGCTGGGGAGAAGCTCAAACTGTAGTCTTGAGGGGGCTGGGCTGTACAAGAGAGGAACAACCAACCTGCCCTGTTGCAATGCTGCAAAAATACTGCTGAGGCTGTCCATGGGCCCTGCTGGTTCATCTGGCTTCAGGTCTTGTAGCACCGAGCAGGCATGAGGAGTGGCAGTGTCCAGTCCCTGCTGCTGCTATGTGCCTCTGGCCTTAAAAATCTCTGGGGAAAGGGAACAGTGGGGAGGGTGTGCAGGCTGTTGGGACTGCAGGCTGATGCTTAGACAGGCTTGGTGATGAGAGTATCTGCAGCTCTTCCTGCTGCCAGACTTCACTGTGACCAATTATCTGCAGCAAGGTGTTTCATTTTGGGATGGCAACACAACCCATCAAGTCTGGAAGGCATCCGGATTTTACCAGGAAAGCAGACAAGGCAGTTCTAAGTTACTGGATGAACACAAACTGCCAACATATTTTTAGTGTGGTTCAAGGATAATTTCACAGCTTTGGACAAACTTTATCCTGAGGCTCTTCTCAGTGGATGATTTTCCTTTGACCTTTTGAATGCTTGTAGCCAGCTCGTTTATCTCAGAAAGGTCTCTTGGTAGAGGGAACCAGACGCAGTCATAAAGAGGCTCTCATATTGTTTTACTTTAACCTTGAAGGATTTGGTTTAGATCAATAGTTTGTGGAGGGATCTTTAATCAAGTTGCTGTACCTTCATTTGGATGTTTAAGGACTCTGCATTCTGAATCTTAATTACGTTCTTCAAGGACTCGAATTTAATGCTATATTTGTTCACAATATATTCATTCTAGACTGACATGAGTTAAAAAGAACAACCTATATTTTTAATGGGGATGTGGTTTGAGGGGCACTTAGCAAAAAGCCAGAAAATATCTGAAGGCCTGTTTCTGCTAGGAGATAAACAGGCATTTGCTAAGCCAGCTCCCCAAATGAACAACCATTCAAATAGGATATTCATTTGGAAAACAAAGAAGTCTGTCATCACATTCAGATTGGATATTTCTTTGCCCTATTACTATAGGTCTCTTCTTTCATCAGCTATAAGTTCAGAGACCTGTTTTTTATTTAGAGTGCAAATATGTTGTGTTTGTAAGTGTACAAAACTGCTCCTTAATTTAATCCTTTTCAAAAAAGAATGGGGGTAAACAAAAGCATTCAAACAAAAGAAAATGGCACACAATATTTCATGAAATCTTTAGCTTTTTTAAAGTAATAATTTTATCTTTCTTTTGGATGACATTGTTTATTGTAAGACATAATTTTTATTAAATACACTGTAATACAAGAGACTTTCCATGTCATGTTGAGAGAAGCCGGTCACATGATTCACAAACAAAAACTTTTAACACTGATACCTAGGCATCACTTTGAAATCAGCCAAGATGCAATGAAAGTTTTAAAGCAATGACTTGTTATAACAAACTGCAAAACAAGAACCACTACACAGAGACATCACATTAAAAAAAAAAAAAAAAAAAAAAAAAAAAAAGAAAGAAAAAAAAAGAATAAAAGAAAGAAGAAAGATAGCTCTACACACCAGGTCACAGTTTGGAATATAGAGATTTATATGTAGATATCTTCCTCTTTACCTTAAGTGACAAAGAGAGCGGTATCTAGAAATATATATATACATAAAGTATAGGTGGAGAGCAGGGCTGGGACAAATATTTCATAATTAACTGATTCTCTTTCTATTGGTGATTCAATTAAACATCAATGTTGAATTAAATTACTTGTATACAAAACATTCTTAGCTGCTTCTCTTTAGTTACAGAAAGATACATACAAGCTGCAAGATACAGGCCTCTGGAAAGATTCTATCTGATCTCTGTTTTCTCACATATTCCAATCAAACGGCCTCATTACTAGCAGCTTCTATTATCCTTGCCCAAAGTATTCAGTGTTTATAAAATACCAGCCGGTCATCACTCAGAACCTTCTACAAGCAAACAAAAAACCCCACAGACCTGGTCTAGAATGCATAGACGGAAAAATAACATACCCATCATAACCCATTTCTTCTCCTGAGACGTATGTTTAAAGGATGGCAAAATAGTCACTTCGTTGCTATTGTGAAATTCACAGTGTTTTCCCTGCAACATGTAGACTTTTTTTTTTCTTCATGTTTGTGATGAATGTAGCATATAACCCCACCCCACCCAAACAAAGGTGTTTTAACTAAGGCTCTGAAAAGACCTCTTGATTCAAAGCAGCAGTGGTTCATCCCAGCCCTCACAACAAGAAAATACAACTTCCTGTGCTATTAAAACCTTCATCTTTGATTAGTAACCCTGATCCCCAATACCTCCCTACTCCCCTCCCTCACATTTTACATTAGTATTTGAAATTTAGTTACAGGCTGCAACTACCCAGACACAGACTTGTTCTAACACATACGCATTGTACCATAGTCATCCAGTGACCTAATAATTTTATTGGGTTATTTCTTTTTAAAGTGTTTTGTAAAAGTCTACATCAACCACAACAAAAACAATCTCTCAAAACGGTGGTGAAGGATATAGAGACAGAAAGAGAGGGAAAGAGAAAGGAAGAGAAAAGAAGGAAAGAAAGAGAAAAGGAAAGAAAGGAAAAGAGAATCCAGGAAAGCAATAAAAAAATACTAAGAGAAGATGAAAAAAGGAAAGAAAATAAGATAAAATAGGCAGTTACTATATCTATATTGTTTTACAAATCAAAATGAATAAAGTCCTTTAAAAAGGGTACACTCCATCATGCATCATGGGGTGCTGTTGCTTTACAAGTTTCTGTTCTCCATGGCCAGTTCTGAGTTCCGCAGATCTATTGAGGGTGATGGACAGAGTGTGGCGAATGCTGCTATTATTACTGCTGAATTTTGGCATTCTCATTTTCGTACAAGTCATGTTGTAGTCTGAATAGTCCAGCTCATTCTTGAAATGATTGCGTTACTACAGACGAGTATAAAATACTAATGGAGCTGCACTGTTATTCTAGGACACTAAAACAACAATAGCACAAATCCAGAAATGGCAGTAATACAAACTCTGTTTTCCAAGCTTGGAAGCCTGTCTGTTCATTCAATTGTGAGAAATCAACAAGTGAGATGGGAATGGAAGAAATTTTTTATGCAGTTATCTGGGGAAGAAAAGTGCTTATTGTTTTATCTCTGGCATTCTAGCACTGCCTCTGCTGTGCATTAGTTAAAATGCTGAATCTTACAAACATAGGAAAAGAAATATCAAAGGAAAATCAATATTCTGGGTACTCAGCAAACTTTATCAATTTATTAATAGCACTCTAATCATCACTTGTAATAACGTAGGTGTATGTAAATTTATACATATACACACAGCCCATACATAAATGTGCATGCATGTCTGCACATATATAAATAAAATACAACAGACATAGGCATACATGTATATGCTATGTGTGTATATATATATATGCCATATGCAAACACACATATATAATATATATTATATATATGATCAGTTCATAGCACAGTCCAGAAAGACTTTTTAAATGAGCCTGATTGTCATATTTACTCAGTGTATAAGATTTAGCTGACAGTGCAAGCATGACGAATATGCAAATATACTCACCCTTCATTGTGATTTGAACATATTTCTTTCTCTTCTCTGCTCATTCTGCTACACTTACCCACCTTTTCATGAACAAACGCAAACTATGTATAGCTACAGTTTATAGCTTGCCTACTGTGATTATACATTTTACGCACTATCAAGAACATTAATGATATAGGTCAGGGTTATTCATACTGGTGGCTCTGTAGAACATTTGGTCCTTTAGAAGTTTAACATACTGTTACGTTATTGCACAATGCATTGCAACACTATTTATTCTCTGAAATTACTTTTATAGTCTCACTAGTAAATCAAAAAGAAGATGCCACTACATACATTTTCAGGGTTTTGTGGTTATTTTTGGTATACGTTCTTTCGGAGCTTGCAAAACTTGCTTTCAGGCTGGAGCCTGCTTTCCAAAAGAAGTAACATCTCAGATGCCTCTTTCTTCAGCTCATAAGAAACTAAGACAGAATACAGCAGGTAGAAATTTAGCATCCCCCTCCACCACCTGCAGCCTCCCCCCAACTGAGCAGTAAGAGCGGACTCTGACACCTTTCTTTTCCACCACTGTTATTTTGAAAATTTCAAATTCCTTTAAAACACAACATTCAGATTTCCAAGAGAATGAGTTTCACTGGATGCTCAGTCTTTAGCTTGCTGTGTGAATTTCCAAGACAGTCTAGATAAAATTTTAAGGCCCATCTTGTAGGAATCTTCCTCTGGCTTTTTGTGTTGTTTCCAGTTCAGTAGTGGTTAAGAAATAACATCTAGTCTATTAAAGAAATACTGAGTATGGCTTTATAGTGACACTGTCATGTTTATTTGTAATGGTGCCTTTTCAGTGACATTGAGAAGGGTAAAACTTGGTCAGTGTCCAGTGAACTGTTTTCTTCTGAAAATGTTCAGAATCTTTACGAGCTAGCTCTAAAAGCTTCTGAAAGAAAAACCTAAAGTGCCTCAATAAATAATATATGTGAGCAAATTATATATTAAATGTGCTATGGGAATACTTACAAAAATAAAATGCTTAATTTATTAAATAAAATATCCCCAACACAAAGATGAAGGACTATTTTGATCAGGCTCATATCAGTAAGAAATACCAAAAAGAGAGAATGGAAAGAAAGATCACTTTTTTGCAGTAACGCCCCCTCACAGAGGGAGGCAAAAGTCTTGAGGAATAGGTAAGGTAGGTTGTCATTGTTAAGAATTCATATTAAAAATAATCCTAACTCTAAATTTGAAATTGTCAACTTCTGATTTGAAAAATAACAGGTATGCCCATGCAGCTGTCATCAACACAGTGGCCATGCAAATGTTGTACATATACAATGTCAATTCCACCAAAAAGAAATTATTTACGAAAGAGTGAATGTTGGTAATGACAGCACTAGTACCAATACGAACAATGGTGCTGAGCTCAGGGTCTTTGCACTCTGAATAGTAAGCCATAACCTCAGAGTAATTTGTTTTCTCTAGAGATCTCTATCCCCTGCCATGGCTCAAACTTAACCAGTGATCTCTGTGCTTTAGATTATTAATGTTATATCAGCCTATTGTATCTGTAACATTGTAAAGGCATTTTAACATGGCTAATGTCCTCCATTAGCCCCTTCTAATGAAATAGTTGTATCGTTATGAGTCCGCTATGCCTACTAGGGTGTACTACAAGATGAGTGATAGTTTATGCACAAAGGGCATTAATCGACAAAGACCATGCACAGTTTTGCTTGCATGGTTAAAAAAAAGAAAAAGGATTGAGGAAGCAAGTAATACACTGCAGGACAAGCACAGTATAAGATACACCTGCCCCAGCATCTATAGCTTGTCCTATCTTATCAAAATCCTTAGTTTCAACGTATGATCCTGAAATTAATACTGTACATTAATAAGCCTAGCTTCAGCCTTTATTAAAAAAAGACTAGCTGGAGAACATTTTTATACCAGTGGCATGACAACATCCTACCAGAAGACAAAATAAGGGCATGTGTTTAGTCTATCATGTTGTAACATAATTGTGTGCAGTGCAGGCAGCATCTTTCTCCTTTTTAATTGTATCTAGCAATAAAAGGTGATGGCAAAGCGCCTCCTTGAACAATCCCTTTAATCCTCAGAAAGACTCTTCAGGGAAAGTGCTAAACCCCCTCTTGCCTTCCATCAAATAATTTCAGTGGGTTTTTTTGTGGGGTTGGATGCCATCTGATCTCCTAATTCCTCCAGACAGTGTAGCACACAAGACTGTCTTCTTTCCATCTGGCTTTATCTCTGCAAGGAACATGCTTCATGTAGAGAACACCAGTCTTCTTTTTCTCCGCCCACATGCCGAAGCAAAAAAAGTGAGGTGAATCCATAGAAACTCCTAGTAGCTGTACAGCAGAAAACACAAAGTTCGAGTCAAATATATTTTTCCCTTTTTTTCATCCACATCAAAGGCATGAATACAACAAGGCATTGTTAGTTGTGGTGGGCAAACTGAAGAGTCTGCTGATATAACAGATCAGGTTTTTAAGGCCTTTGTCTATGCAGAGTTACAATAATGCAGAAGCCAAACTGATTAGAAAGACAGGAGAGAAGAAAAAAATGACAGAAACTGAAAGAGAGAGATAGAGAAAGGAGATACATCTCAGTAATGTCTAAAAAGTCAATACTGTGTCTACAGATGGAGAAGTGCACATTGCTTGCCCTTTGAAAACTTCTCCAAAACTTTGTCATGAATACTGTCAAAGAACACATTTTTAATGGAGTTCAGTGGCAGTTGAACACATTCATTCCCACAGCCTGTAAGAAGAAATGCTTGGAGATTTTAGCCTAAAATATCCAAGTAGACTGGAGATGCCTTGGCCAAGTTCTGGAGGAGGGAATGGATTTCTTTGATGTTGAGCCTCATGTGAGGCTCCCGTTGCCAACAGCCCAGCATCAAGTCATACACTTCCTTGGGGCATGTGCGAGGTCGCTGCAGGACTCGGCCCTGAGTGATGCACTCAATCACCTACAAGGAAGCACAAGGAAAGGATGAGAGCACAGCTTTGCCAGCTACGTGGGGGTCATCTGTGGAAGAATTAACCTCTAATCGCCACATCAGACTCACTGATGGCAGTCACCCAGACAACTCTGCCAAGGGCTATGTTTCCAGGTAGATGCATGAGCAGTGGGATGTGATCTGTAAAAAGCACTGCAATGTAAGCTGTCAAGGAGCAGTGACTTCACCAATGTTAAGTTCATCCACATTGCCCCTTCCACTCATTAGGGAATGACCGCCAGGAAGTAATCCCATACCTCCTCTCTCTACCCATCTATCAACCTCATCTTATCTCAGAAGGAGACTAAGTTTGCATGCTGCTTACACAGAGCATCAGTACCTCTCCCTTCCTCCTTATCATTATGGCTAATCTCTGGAAAGGGGTTACTTGTGACTGCTTGGAAATCAAGAGATCTCAAGATTGCTTCAATCTATTCAAGAATGGTTTTGGATAACCACTCTGCAACAATGACATGTATGATACGGAATTGAAATTACCCAAAGCCTGTTCAGGAGTTAGCTAAGCTCCTTCTCTTTGCTTCATGATCTTTCTCAATACCCAGACCGGATGTGATCTTACACAAAGGAAAAAGCTAAATTCCAACTGGTATAGCACTGCTCAGACAACTTACATCCACCCTGGGGAGAAAAGGGTGACAAGGAAGAAATTCAACCACAACTTTAATGACAATACCATAAATACCTGCTATCAGGGGTTTTGACTTTACTATATAAATCTGTTGCTGTCCCTTCTCCAGAGAAGCTACACCAACAGTTAATGTGCCAGCCTTCCCAATGCAATTTGAGAATGTATTACACACACCTCGTTGTTTGAGAGCTGATACCATGGCTGTTTGCCATAGGTAAAGATTTCCCATAATACAACCCCTAGGCTCCAGACATCACTTTCTGTGGTGAACTTCCTGTACATGATACTCTCTGGAGGCATCCAACGAATGGGCAGCATGGTGTGACCTCCAACCTGAGAAAAACAAATGAAAGAGTCAGAAATAATGCCTCCAGACCTGCACAAGAGTATCAAGACATTAAATAAAAAGAATCTATGGCTTCTTTTTTTACCCATCTGATACTATTCACTTTGAAGAGCTTTTAAAAACTAGGGATTCATGGTCCCTCAACAACAATCACTAACGTGATATGTTTCTCAACAGAATTTCCAACATTATTTCTGAAGTGCAAAGTCATCGTTAACATTTGCTACTCACACCATACCCAAGAAACAGGAAGCTCTGTAAAATTATTAAGTAGTTTAGCCTACCAACCTACTTCAAATTAGGCAGTTTTACTCCCCATTTTAACACTTGGGAAACTAAAGAAGATTCATGAAATTAAATCTGCACTGATGATTCTCCTAGAATCTCAGCAATATCAACTGAAATTCATGAAGAAACAGTGGTCTTACTTCATGACAGAGTAGGATCAGGATCTGTATGGTTTAATATCCTAATTTTAACTGAATTAAAGCAATACTATTTTCTATTGATAATTTCAATATTAAATGCATTAAATTATTTTGTTCCACATTAACCATCCACTCCTACACAGCTTTTAAAAAAATCAGCCCTTCGGATATATTCTCCTGATAATAAATAACTTGTAAGACATGGACTCTTATCCAAATCAGCTCACATTGAATTGGATCTTTCATTGAATGAACGCCGTTCTGAAAGTCTCTTAGAACATGTTACAGTTTACCCCTTGGGCAGGTAGACTAGATGTAAGGCTCTGTGCATCAGTATTTTTAATAATCTTTGACTGAGAAGTCACTTGATGTGGAGAGTTTAAAGTAACACAGGAACACAGCTGAGATGAAAACAAAGCTTCAGTTTCCCACGTAATCATAACTTAAACTGACATGGCATCCAAACAGATCTGAACCACCACTTTTACCATCATCTCGAGAGGTATTGCCTTATAAATTCAGAAAAGTTAGTCCCTCAAAAACATACAGCCACATACACTAGGACAAAGGGCAAGTGCCATTAAAACATGGTTAGTGATGAGAAGTTTTTGGTCTCATCAAATATTAAAAATAGCTCTTAGATCTGCTCATCATACAGTCTCCGCTACTGGTTCTTTTCAGCAGTTTCTTTGACTCATTCTTTAAAAATTAATGAAAGCTATAAACAATAAAGTATGTGTTTCTAGTTTTTGTTATTTGTCACATCCTACATCAAGAGATTTTGAAAAAATTACTAATAAAACCCCACTCACCAAATTGTCTCATGGTTCCTTGCTACAGAACCACAGAGGTAGGACTCCATACTGAGTTTACAGTGCTATTCAGTAAAATGAATGACACACCTCTAGAGTGATAAATCACCACAAATAATGACTGTTAATGCACTGATCTGTAACATCACAGACCTAGCTGCCTCTCATAGCAAGATTGACTCATCAGTGCTGACAGCAAGAATTCAATTTACAGGTAAGTACATGACATGGGGCTCTTTGGTGTTCTTTGCACATCATCTTGCCTGGACCTGTGTCCATTTCTGTCCCCACAGGTAAAACACTAGGGCAGAGTATTTGTCCAGGACTGAGAATTCCTGAGGTGTCTCCATTTCTATCACTAGCAATCATTTTAGGCAAAGTTACTGCCAACACCTCAGCATCTTTGAAAAGATAGTATTTAATGCCTTTAAAGTATCAATAAATATTATAATGGGTCCTCTTCCTTCCAGATGGCATTGCAATGAAGACAGGATATCAGTGCAACACTGAGCATCACCAGTGGCAGGCTGAGCATCTACCTGTGGTCCAAGAGCACCTTCAGTTTCAACTCAGATTTCAGTTCAGCCACATTGAAAGCATGAGTCAGGGCCTGGCCAAAGGCAGTTTTTCTGAATGTGCATTTCCTTTGCTATTAATGAACAGTGTTTACTGGGTCAACACTCACTTAGCTCAGAAAAGCATTAAGGACAGTGTTAGGTGTATGCTTAAAATGAAGCACATGCTTCAGAACTTTCTTGAACTGAATCCTGGGACTCTGCACCATTGTTTGCAGGATGTCTGAAACAAACTGCCAGTCAGTTGTGAGCTTCTGTCGATCTTTCTTGGACTGTAGTGTCCAAGCACCCACAGTTGTGCCATTATAGCAGTGAAAAGAGGTGGAGTGCCCTTTCACTGTTGTTGCCAAACTCCCAGCAAGGCTAAGGAGTGTTTTTTGAGGACCAAGGAAGAACGACATGACTACACCAACCAAATTTTAAAGGTGCTGAGTGCTTCAATAGGATGCCTTCTGCATATGCTTTAATAAGAAACACAAGTATTACACAAGTCTCAGATATCATTAGCACTCTGCAGTTTAAAGTCTCTGCTGTACACACTGTTGCAGTGCTGCTCGATACACGTAATTCTAAAATGGTTGTGTGCTAAGCACATTACTCTTGTAGGTAAATAACACCTTTATATTCAGTCTAGCTAAGGTTATGACAGGTTTAAAAGAATTACAGTTTTAACAATATGCTATCACTTTAAAATCTATACAGTAGCTGTAAAAATGCTGCAAAACCGACCATTTTATAGATACAAATTAGGGTAAATTTTCTCGATGCTTACCTGAAAGCAGCTATATTATGATGGTTCTAGCACTACTGCAGATCCTTTCTGGGACTTATGTACTTGCTTCCAACTGTCAGTTTATGAAAGCACGCACTTCCTAGCCCAGCTGTAGCCTTGTATTACATTCACTAGTTGCTTTTACTACCAATATTAAGCTAGAATCTGAACCAGAAAGCCTGGTGAACTAGCTTTTGCGATGCACAAACTATCCACAGGGAGCAGACTGAAATGCCAGGTTAATGAACTATTATATTTTCCAAAGAAGCACTTGCAAGGGGAAACCACCACACTGTTCCACATATGAAATGTTGCACTTTCAACAATACATCATTCCATTTGTCACTACTTTTAGTACTCATCTTTTAAATGAATTTAGCACTTTAAAAGTGCCAGATAAGCTGACCTTGAAAATTATTTTCATTATTTGCAAACGTCAAGTTTCAAGGATTGCCGTACAAGCACCATGTCTTAGTCTTGAAGCCTGGCATTTAACTCTAGAGATTGATAGTTTGTTCACTTTCTGGCTTTGTATGTTCTGTATCCTCCTTCACTAGGAAATGGTGAGTCTTGTCTAATGCAGAAATTTGGTCTTAAGAAGGAAACCAGGCCTAGTATGTAACTCTGTGGAAGTTGATTTTTGCTGTCCAAGAGTTTGCATGCATGCATGCATCCATCCATCCAATGTAAACCCAGCCTTCTTGCTGCTAGAAGAAGAGCCCTTAGTTGACTATCATCAACCAGTGATTGCAGCCAATCACTTAAATTTCCCTATGCCAATTAAAAATGCATCTGTTCATAACCTGCCCTGGTCACTGTTTCAAATTCTACTGCCCAACTGCCATGGGAAACCAAAGCCCTGTTGCCCAGTGTTTGTGAACAAATGGGTATGCTCTCTTACAAAGAATGAGAAAATGGAGCTTCATGCTCCTGCTGGGAACAGGAGGCTGTGGGTGGAGCTGGGGGAAGGCAACCTAGAGAGATTAGAAGAAGAAACAGAGTGTATGTGGGGCTGCACAGATAAGCTGCAAGCCACAGGCTGGGAAAGGCACGAGAAATAAAGTTGCTAAAATGACCACTCAATCAATTCACACCAGGTTTAAGCCTTACTCATTTGTACCATGAAGTGTAAGGGCTGAATGAATTGGACACATTTTTGCAATGCATGCCAGCTGCAATCCACTCTTACCATAGCAGCACTGGGGGCTGTGATGCTGACGGTACCACAGAGGGCTTTGGGGTCCAGAGCCATGCTGTAGGGTGCTACAGGCACTGACCAAAGGACAGGACAGTGACTAGCCAGAACAGGGAGAAAAGTCTCTTCCTGCTAAATATTGGTGGTCATATTTTGAGAGGTTCCAGCAGTCTTGGAGAGGACATCAATTCCAACGCCCAGCTTTTGCAGGCACTGTATTACATAACCCTTTCTCCACCTTTTTAAATTTCTGGATTTCAGTAGTCTATTACTTTGAATTCATGCAGTAAAAAGCACAGCAACCAATTGCATAGCCTTGGAAAACAGACATCCTCATTTACGTTCAGTGTTCCCAGGTTCCCACGACACCCACAGAGTGCCATTGCAGTAATATGTGTCACAGCGCTTTGTATATTCTCTAAAGACGAGTGATGCTTTTTCTGCCAACAGAATAAAAGTAATCTTTTTACTTTGTGAGCTCAGTGAACCTGAATGACTAGCTCATGGGTTCCAGCCCTGACCCCACCCAATGCCCTGTCTGGCTTGACTGCTGCATCTCTCCAGAGCCCTGCTGATCTCAGACTTTTTGCAATTCAGGGTGTTAGTCTTGAAAGCAGCAACACAGTTCAGCATATGCTTAAATTAACTGTCATGTGACAGGTATATACTCAGTCTCTTCAATGCAACTGGATCTTAGTTTGTCAAACTGGAACCAAGCTATACTTCTTGATTCATTTCTTCACCCCCTCCTAAAAAAGAATCCTGTATACTTGTGGGATTACAGCATTTTAGGGTAGTTTTCACTATTATGTTCTGGTCTTCTGACTTGCTTCCCCATCTTAGGACATTTTCCCCTCATAAAATGCTGGTAGATGTTTCTCTCAGCACAAGAAAAAAAATCAATAATTGTTATTTTCCCTTCTTCCATGCCCTAGCCTTGCAGACAAAGTCAATGACTCCTCTTAGAATATCATCAGTCTTGCCATGTCCATTTGCAGAAAAGCAATATATTATTTTCACAGTTATAACAAGCCATGCCACTCCATTTATGAAATAAGGCAGATTATTAACCAATATCTAAAGATGTGTCCTTTTATTTTCACTTTTAACCCTGCTTGAGTTCATCTCTATTCAAAGGGAGCTTATGTCAAAAGTTCTTAATTAATTCTACCAGTGGTTTTGTCAGAAGACTGAAACAATGTCTA